AATTCCTCATGCCATGCAGCAAACACCCACATGTCTCAGCCGATGCTACCCATCGTGAACATGGCTGTGAGCGACGAACGATGCAGGGCCCGATGACGTGCACCAATCAATGCGCGTGATACCCGTTCGGCGGCTCTTGCTCCGACGTCGGTGTTTGTTCGCCGGCGAACTTTCAGGTAAACTCCGATATCTTCGTCAGCGGCTGGTATCAAATCCCTCAACAACAGCCTGTCCTGTGTTGTACGCTTACGACACTTCTGTCGCCCTGGTCCAAACAACGGGCAAACTGTCGAAAGAGTCGTAAAGCGTGAAGCGCCCGCGAAAAACGCACCGTCAAAACTTCAAGCATTCCATGCAGCACACAAAGAGAGAGTTTATCAGTCACCGGAGGAAGCTGCAATGGGGGAAGAACAAGCCAGCGGTATGAAACCGCACACAGCCAACGAGCACAGCGACCAAACCACCGTACCCAAAGTCGCAACACCGTCAATCGCGATCCCCAAACCCAACCTACCGCTCCCCACGATGCGCAAACCCAGCACCTCGACCGAAACATCCCACGAATGGAACACATCCAAACTCGGTCTACGCATCGGCGTCGACGCCCTCTCCGCCGGCTCCGCCGGCATACTCGTCGCACCCATCATAACCATGATCGACAAAGGCATCATCGAAAATGCCAGCGGGCGTAACAGTCTCGGCGAGAGTCTGAAAAAGAGCGCAATCGAACTCCTCGCGAAACCGCACCGCTTCCTCGCCAGCAAACCTTTCGTCCTGATCTTCAGTCTATACTTCGGTACATACTTCACAGCCAACAGCATCGACACGGCGTCCGCGACGGTAAAGCCCACGCAAAGCTTACAAGAGCAAACGAGCGGGACGAGCAAGTTCCTCGCTACGAGTACAACGAACCTAGCGCTGTGTCTGTATAAAGACAATCAGTTCACCCGGCTCTTCGCTGCGCCGGGGTCGTCGCCACGACCTGTTCCTCTGCCTACATTCGCGCTCTTCACCGTCCGCGACTGCCTTACTATTTTCGCTTCGTTCAACTTGCCACCGCTGCTTGCGCCCAAGGTAGACGAGCGCATGGGCACGGAGGTCAAGAAATATGTTGGTGCGCTGAGTGTTGCGCAATTTGTTACGCCTGCTGCTGTGCAGCTTGTGAGCACGCCCTTGCATTTACTCGGGTTGGATTTGTACAACAGGCCTGAGGCTAGGGTTGGTGGTGTGGATGGCAGGGCAGGGCGCGTGCTGAGGGATTGGGCGAAGAGTGCTGCGGCGAGGATATGTAGGATTGTGCCCGCGTTTGGAGTGGGGGGTGTAGTCAATACTAAGGTTAGGAAGAATATGATGGGTAGGCTTGAGGGGTAGGATCAGGGTGTTAGATGAAGAGTTGGAAACAAATCGTCTTGAGCATTATGTGGCGTTAGGGGTCGGTACGGAAAATTCTCATCTCATCTCACAGCAACAGCATGGCATGGCGTTAGGTGCGTTTTAACGACGAATGAACGCAGGCAACAATGAAGCACTTTATGAAGCTCAACCTTTGCGCGCTTCTCGCGTCCCATCCGTCCCTCATCTCTTACCTTTCTCGTCATCCATCGCTTTGGCCGAAGCAAACCATTTATGCTGCACTAAACACTGCATCTCCATCTCCATCTCCATCTTCCATGCTCCCACTCCGCTATATCTCACGGAATAAGATCGCATTAGTCCATGACTCCTGTCCCCCGTGACATCATCGTCGATCCAGCGCTCAGATCACAGATCTCGACCGTTAGGCCCCAGAGGCCTTTTCATGGCATATCCGACTGCATGGTGCATGTCAAATCTCGGTTCCTAAGCATCGCATGCTCGCACGGACGCCTGGGTGAAACGGACCGCGCGATTGTTCATGTGAATTTAGCCGTTGCGTGAACTGGGACTTGGCGGTGGCTGGTACTAGTTCGCCGTTGTGATCTGTTTTGGGTTATGTATGCAGAGTGAGATGAGAGAGGCGTGCATGCGTGGGAAAAGCAAAGACGTGATCGGGATAGAGTGATCTGGGAGAGTCACAAACGAGCATGCATGGAGCGCACAACAACAACACAAGAGCTCAGACATTACATTTTCCATTCTCAAAACACTCTGAATAAATGTGCTAGTGGGTATCAAAAGACCTACGCCTTCTCATTCCCAATACTTGCGCTCCCACCGCCTCTCGCCTCAGCCAGAAGTTGTGTACCAACAACCTCGCCATTGCTCTTACTCTTGAACACACCAGAAATAGAGTACAGACCCATAAAAGGCTCGTACACATACTCCTCCTCCCAGACTTCCTCGCCCTTGTAGGTAACACTCTCGTTGAACCCGTTGAACCGCATGTTCTTGAGGTAATCACCCACAACATTAGTCGAGGAGATGGTTCCAGAGTTATCAAGGATTTGCTCTACGATATCGCCGTTTTGGGCCAGGACACGGCGTTTGTTGGTGTTGCCTTCGAAGTTGTTGATGGAGTAGAGGATATTGTTGTGGAGATCCCATTGATGGAAGTCGAGGTCGCGTTTGGCTTTGGCTTGCGCAGAGGTGTCGTTGCCTCCTCCAGTAAGGCCACCAGCCACATCGCCAACGAGACCAGCAGTATCGTTGATGATGGAGCCAAGGCCGTTTCCTAGCTCAGCGATCACGGGGTTGAGATCAATGCTGTCGAGCACGTCGCTGACCATGTTGACGAGGTTACCCAGACGGGCTTCGAGGTAGACTTTTGCGGTGACGTTTTGGATTAGGAGGGTGACTTTGTCGATGGATAGGTCGACTCCGGCGTTGAACTGCAGCAACTGGAGGACTTGGGCGTCGAGGTTGATCTTTGCGGTGAGGTTGTCGACGCCGATGAAGATTTCGCCGACGTGGACGGAGGCGTTGAGGAGAACGTCTGGGACGGGGCTCAAGGCAGAGATGTTGGACGATGATGTGTTTTCTGTTTCGTAGAGGACGGCAGATGGGTCGCCGTCATCTCGTACGTCCAACTTGTAGCCACTGTAGCCATCGGATGCAGATTGGCAGACAGCGAGGAAAGGCAACGAAAGGAGTGTGATGGTAGGTAGTATCGACAACATCTTGACTCGTACTGAAAGAGAGACTGGCCGAAAGTCGACGTGCTGCTGAACAAAGAGCGAAGGACAGGAAGCAACAACTCAATGGATGTCGTCAATCGACGAGAAAGACGGGCGGGCACAACGGTTAACACTACCATCGGGTGGAGTAGTAGTGAGTTGCCTGCAAGGATCATGTGCATAGCACCATCTTCCATTACCCGTCATCCACCTACGCTAGCAAGAAAAACGGAAATTAAGGAGATCCATTCCCACACCTGCGATTCGATAGAAAATCCAGAAAACCGGCAGTTCGTATGCGGAATCAGGATTTCTACATGTTCATGCCTTAGCACTGCTCCAGATGGTGCGATCCAGCCTTGTAGGAACCCCTGCGCGGCTGCATAGGGGGCTTTACCCGAGATTACCATTATGGGAATCCTTGCAATACTCCATGTGCATGATTGCCGTGCCCGCTGATTTGCAACGGGATTCCTTCGCTATAACCGGTACGTGGGTCGTGGTTTGCTGATACTTGTACGGCTGTCTCGCTCGTTAATACTGCCGTTGTTGTTGCTGTCGTCGCCGCTCACGCCAACATGTCGTTCTCTATCCGCCTACTGCTCATCAGCATTTTTCTTACTTTCGCTACACTCATTTCTGCGCAATCGGAATCTGGGGCTCCTTCGACCCCAGCGCCTACAAGCAGCACCCCACCGCAAGGCAACGGAACTACTACGAGACCGCCAGAGGTTGCGCCTACTGGATCTTCGCCCCCAGATGTGCTCCTCCGCGTCCCTGAACTGCACGTTGGAAGAATTGAACTCGGCGTCGAGAAGCTTCAGGCAGATCTTAACCTCAACGCCAAGGTCGCCGGTCTCGTCCAGATCAATGCTGGTGTCCAGGTCGCCGTGGAGAAGGTCAACATCACTATTGCTGACGTAGATGTTGAACTCGAGTTGATTGTACGATTGGGCAACCTGGTCTCTATCGTGGAGCGCGTCTTTGACTCTCTGGACCTGAACCCTCTCTTGATCGGTTTGATCGGAAACGTCACCAACTTGGTCGGGGAAGTGATCGGTGCAGTTGACGGGCTTGTGAGTATACGAATGGCTCGATGTCAGAAAGTAACTAACAGCATATAGCTTGGATCGATTACGCAAAACGGAAAGACGCTCAACTTCTTGGTCGACAACCTTGGCAACATCGTCCAAGAGGTAGTAGGAAGCGGCGGAGACGCCCTCCAGCAGATTGTCGGAAACTTCAAGGTGAGCAGCTTCAGATACCGTGAAATTTTCGACCACTGACCTGTCGTGCAGCTCAACATGACCGAAGTCGCTGGAAGCGCAAAGCAGGTTGGCCAGGGAATGACACAGAAGACCTTCAACTACGAGCCTCTCAACGCGCTCGTCGATATCGTGACCAACACCGCTGGTCAAGTCGTATCCGCGGTCGTCCAGAAGAAGAATGGTGGTGGTGGCGGCAGTGGCGGCGGCTCATCGTCAACAGCTTCGGCTTCCGGTACTCCCATGCCGGTTAGCCTGCCTGTCGCCTCGGCTACTAGCTCTGCGTAGGCGTATATAGCGTCGCGATAATGGCATAATCTAATGCATCTTGAATACTGTTCATACCGGGTCTGTGATGTGGTTTGTGGTTGTGCAGAGAGAAAATGAAGTTTAGGTGCGCGAGCGACGCGATGCCTCGTCAGGTGGGAGAGATGACGTGGGACGCTAGGGCCACGCCCCAAGCACACAAGCACGGCCGTGGACGCGCATAGGCATACCCTCCTTTCATCGGCATCATTGCGCAAGGCCTTACAACGATCGTTCAATTCATAAGGTGCGACATGTAATGCGAAGAAAACCAATTGACATTAGAGAAGTCGTGATACAAAAGAGTGTCCATAGTTGAGTCCCATCTCCCAGCCCACTAATCACTATCAGAGTCATCGTCGTCCTCACTCTCGTTATTTGAGCTTGAGTCGCTTCGCTTCTTCGATTTGGAAGACGTCTTCTTCTTCTTTTTCTTCTTCGCATCGTCGTCATCCTCACTCTCACTCTCTGAAGAGCTCGAATCGCTGTCCTTCGACTTGGACCGACTCTTCTTCTTCTTTTTTGACTTCTCCTTCTCGTTCTTTTGCTCTTTCCTCAGTCCTTCTTTGGATGCTTTGACTTGAAAGGTCGTGCCCATCGTATCGATCATGTAGGTGTCGAACTCTCTAGCGGTGCTGGCAATCTTTTCAAATTCCTCTCTGCCCACACTGATCTCAACGTCCTTACGATCGTCGTAGCCCTTACCATCCTTCTGGCTTCTTGCCTTGAACTCAGCCATGGCGATTGCGGTATGGAAAGCGTTTCGGATCTGGCGTCCGTTCCAGCGTGCGCGCTTGCTGTCTCCGCTGTCCTTCCAGTGCTTCTTGGCAAACTTCATGATCTCTTTTTCCTTGATAGTGACGTGGCTACGGCCGCTTTTTTCCAGCACATACGTGGTCTGATCAATGAAAGTTTGCCACACTTCCAGTGTAGTTTCCTTGTCGAAATCGGGATCTGAGGCACCAGGATTAGAGCAAGCATTGAGGTAGACTAGAAAAGCACTTACAGAACAGCGAGATGTGCACTCGAGACGTGAAGGCCTCATCAAAAGTGCCGACTCGATTAGTGGTCAGAAAGAGTAAACCTTTGTAATACTCCAACATGCGGAGAAACACCGATACGATACTGTTGCGCTGCAGATCCTCAAGCTTCCTCTTCGCGAGGAAGACATCTGCTTCATCGAGCAACATGACGCAATCCCATCGGCTAGCAAGCGTGAAGTGTTTCTTCAAGTTCTTCTCGACATCGTCTGCCGTGCTTCCAAGATCACCACATGTGATAGGGTAGAGTGGCTTCTCTACGAAATCGGCAATGCATTCGGCTGTGCACGTCTTGCCGACTCCAGGAGCACCTGATAGTCGTTAGTGATATACATCAAGGCTCTCAAAGAAGATATTGTACCATGAAGGAGGATAATAAGCCCTTGCCCTTTACCCCGAACCAGATCCATATCATTCTCTGAGCTTCCAGTCGTAGCTTGCGATCCTCGCTTCCGGAAATGCTCCTGGACTTGAGATTGAAGGATGCTCTTGTGACCTTCCGATAAGACAAGCTTTTCAAAGCCCCTACCCTTCTCTTCTTTATCTGGTTCCTTGAGATCCTTGACATTGACTTGCACTGCTACATGTTAACACGGACCGATGCCGTTGAGGACTGAAGACTTACCCCACTCCCGTGAACGGAACTTGTACGCAAAGACGCGGTAATGGCAGATACCGAGGTCTTCATCCTTTATAGCCGGCGCGTCCGCCGTAGCTAACGACGATTTGAATAAGGGGTTCTCGGCAATGTACTTCTTATAGACTGCCAGATCCGAAACTTGATCATGTACAATTGGATTGCGATGACCACAGGAAAGGCTGTAGGAACTACAATTCCTCCCCCTCGAGCAGTCACTCGTTTCAGATACATCCAGATGTTCCGGCACCTGGTATCTTGGTATGTCATCGGGGTTTATCTGGAAGTATCCTTTCATGTCAACGATGACTTTGTCGTTGAGCTCTTCGCGAGTGCTTAGTTCGAGGCCTTTACAGTCAACATAGAACGCAGTGGGAGCGGCAGCGTATTTGACAAAGTTCTTGCCTCGTTCTCTTAGTGTGGTGGCTGTGTCGGAAGCATACTCGCATGGGAAGACGTCGAGGTCACGAATGTCTCTCTCTCCTGGATATGGAGCAATCACAATTCGTCGCCGTACGGGTACCGGTCTGGCACCGTTGAAATCCAAGTAATATGCATGTATGCAGAACGGATTGACCCCATTCACAGCCTCGAGCTTTTCCTCAGAACTGCGTAGAGTGATAGAGGTTGGAAACCTTGGTGCGGACGAGGAAGGCAGTAAGGCTCTCCTTCCACCAGAAGTCATGAGAACTCTCATGCCCAATTGCTCTTGAATACCTGTATCATCTAAAGCGGCCGATTGCTTCGTGACCACAAGATCTCCAGTATGGAAAAGGTGCCATAGATCACAGAAGCGTACCGTGTCCACCCTTCTCCTTCGGAAATCCATGTGGCCTGGTAGTAAGTAGTGATCGAACAGGTTGTCCATGGACTCGAACGACTTCCGAACCTCAGTTATAGTTGACCAGCCCCCCATATTCTTTCCTACACACCCGTTGTTTTCGTCAAAAATCTCGAGCTTTCTCAGGACGCGGTCCCACTGTTCTGTCGTGATAGCGTCAGAAGTAAGAGGCTCTTCGGTAAGTGGAGCAATCCCACCCGTCTTAGAAGACTCCTCTTTGCCTTTGACAGTTCTGTGAGGCTGACGTGTTTTGAGTGCGTTGTCTGACATCTCGGTGACTTCGAACAGCCCACCCTCCTTGTTCGCCGGTCCGTTGATCATCCTTGTCAGAGCTTGAAGCACTTTAGGCAACATGGCGCGTATGTTTTCCTTATTGTGAAGGAGGGGCTTGAATGGTCGTAGGATGATGGTGTCCACCGCTGTGTCCTCGGCGACGAGATATCTTCGAAGCAGATACAATATCCCGGGTGCGTTGATTCGAATTCGATCCGGGAAGTGCTTGCTCTTCAGTTTGGCCATCTCTTCTACCAACCTCTTCTCATCTGTCGATTTTGATGAATGCTTCAAAGCCGCCTCAGATGCGATGGCCTGTTCATCTACATCAATGTCTTCCATCGTGGTGAAATCCGGCTCCCTTCGTCCCGGATTCTCGGCTCTCTGCGCTTCTGGCTCTCCAACAAAAACGTCAATCTGATGGCTAGGAGGGACTTTTTTCCCGTCAGATTTCGCGGATAACGGCTTCTCCAATCCTTTGGAGACTTGGAAGTTCAATTCTGGTTCCATATACGGCACCTTGGCTTCTGTAGGCGGCGGAGCTGCCGGAGGAAGTTTATCCACGCCATTGATTAGCCGATATAGCTTCTTATCAAAGGCAGTGGTGGTCTCCTCCAAGCACAGGAGTCTAGACTCCACGATACGGTTGAAGTGGTTGACCTGTTCTATCCGTTTTGGAAACACTTTGAGACGCGACTTCATCTGGGCAGATTTGCTGCTCGGCCTGCTCGGCCTCTCCCATTCAACATCAGAGCCTTCACTGAGTTCATCCTCCTCTAACTTCAGATTGAGACTCTTGGGTTCTTTAGAGGTGCTTGACGGTTTGCGCTGGCCGTCTTCGCCATTTGTCTTCAGGATGGCCTTCGAAGGTTGCGATTCGGTATTGCCTGTCTCCTGTTCCGGTGACTCTTGGCTTGCGCCGATCTCGACTGGCGTTGCATCGATCTCGGGGTTGACGGCTTCACTTGGAAGCAGTGTGATTGCCTTTTCGGCAGCAGGCTTTCCAGCTGTCATGTTTTCAGCAGCTGTCAGAGTAAATGTAATGATGTGACATACTAGGTGTGTCCGACTCGTTGCTCGCGGCGAGCGTCACTTCCGAACTATCAGAGCGAGACATGGCGGAGTTGGCTTCTGAGCCGCGTTCGCAATTATCCCTATCGACCAACGAGTTAGATCTTCCGGTTATGAACTATAACACTGGGCACTAAAAAACACATCGTGCGATAGTATCTGTAAAAAGCTTACCTTGTATTCAATGAAATAGCTCCAATTGCTCGTGAACCCGGTCGATGGTGGTTGGGCAACTGTGTAGAAGGTACATGAGAGAGACCAACAGCCACGACGAAACTTGTCCAGTATCACGGTCATGCGCCAGGCATTCCCCTCATCTACAGCGGGGTACCAACAAAGTCCATGTGACGCCGTGCATGGGTGTTCTTTATTTTAGCCCTATTGCCGGCGGCGTAGTTGTCACCTACCTATCTCGGTCGATCAGCCCCCAACAAGTACTGTGAGATCATCAGTACATCTATTGCAATTGTGATCGCAAAGTCGCCGGAAGGTACGAGAGTGATTGCAGTCTAGCACATGTCCACAAGCTCGAACTGTCAGTTGCAGAAAGATCTCTTGATGCGACTGAGCGAAGCCAGGCTTTGCTTGCAGTCGGTAATCCTGAGTTACTTCGACATGGAGTGATGGAATGTGAGGGCTTGCAGGATACCGGGATCTTTGCGGGCTTTGGCGCTTAACGCCTGTTCGCACTGATCATGAGATGGACGCTCTGGCCTATCGTAGGCCCCATACATCAATTTCCCCTGCGAAGTACTATGGGATCGGGTAGAGCCAGGCGGCAGGCGGCAGCACAGCCTTCGATAACGATAATGCGGATCTGCATGGCCCCCAAATAGATGCTGTGCCACCTGGGCAGTGCCAGCCTTGGAGCCCCTCAGCCTCGTCCGAAAATCAGGTAGTCACCTGCGCAGGATTTCCAGTATCGGGAGTAAGTTCTAAGCCCCATTGCATACTTGCTGGGATGCTTTAACTGCGCTTCGAGGTTGAGTTGAGCATCCAGACGCAGCAAGTTGTCTGCCCTTCCTAAGAGACCATGGCGCCCCACCAACTGGCTGATGACGTATTTCCGTTTCCGTCTACGCAGCCCATATCAGTAGACTTTATCGAAAACCGAGATGCAGGATTCCGAAACACCGAAGGCGATTTGCAATGCAAATATGACCCAATTCGTCAAACGTTCGTACCCCTCCCGGTAGTTCCAGATACGGCGCTCGAAGACCAGGAAGCGGCGCTCGAAGAGAGCAAACTGCAGGTAGTCGCAACCACGGAGAGCTTTGTAAAGGCCATATCAGCTCTGAAGAAAAAGAAGTCCAAGGAGAAGAAGATAGCAAGCTTCGATCTCGACTCTTGCCATGACTGGAAAGACATCACTCTGCTCATACAGGAGGTGGTGAAGGATTATCACAAGGATGATTCCACACGAGGACGTCTACGCGGCCAAGTTCGGCGCGTTGGGGACAACGCGAAGTCGATACAGACCTTTGTTGGCCTCTTGCCCGACGGAGAGTACAAGACTCTCTGCGGAGGACTGATGTTAATACTGACGGTTAGTCATGTCGGAAAGATGCACCCCGACTGCAAGCGCTGATACATATACCAGGCCATGACGGAGCATTCGGAAGTCCGCAAAAGAATGGCTGATTTGTTGCGAGAAGTGCCCGAAGTGGTGAACATGTGTGAGCAGTACCAAACGCTCTACGGTCCAGGAAATACCATACAGCTGTGCGTGAATGACATCTACACGAACCTCCTCGTGGCTCTTGAAGCAATAGTCGAGTGGTACAGACAATCTTCCTGGAGTAAGTCCACTCTCTCAATGGCACGATCCTTTGTCTAGAGCGTGAATCATGTACTCACAGTGTTAGAACATGCCAAAGACAGTCTTTTGAAGAACAGTAACTACGGGGAAACGATTGATCAATGTCTCCAGAACATCAGCCGCTCTAAAAGTCGCTTCACGGACGAGACCCAGGTGTACTTGGCTTATTATCAACAAGCTACATTTCAAGGAACACGCAAACTCAACGCTCAGTCCCATGAGATCAACTCGAACGTTCTCAACCTGAGTGGACAGGTTGTCCAAAGCGAAGCGAACCTCAGCCACGTGATGACAGACGTGACGACAGCTGGTGTAAACGCGATTAAGGGACATCTTGACGACGCAATCAAGAATGCTGACTGTAAGCCGAAGCCTCGTCGATCGAGTCTCAATTCGCCTTGCTGACCTTACAAAGGGCAGGGCAACATAGAGAAACTTGCCAAGACCTTGATGGCGCAGCAGTTGGACGCCGCAAATGACAGTGAGTCAAATGTATGCCACTACACTCCACAAGCTAATACACGACTAGAGCAAGAGATACTGGAGCTTAGAGACCAATTCGCCAAAGCAGTCATCACCCCGAAGTGTCTCATGAGAGACCTGCGATTGAAGCCCAAGAAGCATACACACCTACAAGAAACTTCTATGGTGCTCAAAGATGGACTGAACAGCTCGGCGAAATTCCAAGAACGCGCTGGCTGGGCAGGCAGCAACCGCCGTTTCCAAGCCTGGCTGGGAGGAGAGAATAACTCCCAAATGCTGTGTGTCCAGGGCCGCGGCGATTTCGACAGAACATCACCCCTGAGCTTCCTCATATCAATCCTCCACGAGAGGCTCGTGACAGCACCACGCACGCTGGTCCTTCCGTTCTTCTGTGGGAGAGGCAAAGTAAGTGATGGACCCGTGGTCATGCTTAAGGCGCTAGTGGTCCAGCTCCTCAGTATTTGCGACGCCGAAGGGCACACCGGAGAGAAAGGTCGACCCATCCTCTCATTTCTTGGACACGAAGAAAGGATGCAGTTGAACGTGCAGGACTGCGTGGCGTACACAAAAGTGCTTACGCAACTGCTACGAGAGCTGCGTAAGAAGTATGATGCAATCTTCATTTTGATCGACGGTGTTGACTTCTACGATTCGGATTTCGAGGAAGAGACCGATGATTTTGTTAAGAGCATGAGGAAGTTGGTCAAATCGCTCAACAAGCCAAATGACGAGGCGCTTGGTGGTGTTGTAAGGGTGCTCTTAACAACAGCCACATATTCGAGCCGCTTCGATTCTCCTGCGAAGCCACTGGTTGTAATTGATGTGCCGGAGTATATAGAGGGGTCGATGGACGGGTTCGAGAGGTTCACGTAGATAGGCAATTTGTGTAGTTTTGGGCGATGCCAATCGCAACCTCTTTTCGTGTCGTGAGCTTCATCCACTCCCACTGTTCCTCGTTAGTTCTTATTGATCTCTTCTTCAATACGCATGCTACACTGACCTTGACACTCAAAATCGTGTTGCATGTGGACGCACACAGCCTCATCGCGTACATCGGGAGCGGTAGCACCTCGACAACTTCCTCAGAAGCGCTCGTCCATCCAAGCAGCGCTCGATGTCGGTGTGATGATGTGACTTAACAGGTTGCGAATCCGGGCAAAGACTTAACTTTCACCCTCCGTCCGTCTCAACCACCCCATAGATATGCGGCATCTTGTCTCTCTTGTTCGCGTTCAACCATTCGCAGGTCGTTTCCCAATCTGCTTCCAACTCGTCCTCATCAAGAGAGAGCGGATAGGCTTCCTCATATGGTAGGGTTTTGTCTTTCTTTAGTTGAATTCTCATAGTGGTTCGATCGAGTATGTCCTTGCGCTGTTTTGCAGCCTGTTGCTGGAAGGCTTGGTAGAAATCTTCGCCGTACTCGTTGAGGTCGAGCCATACGTTCAGAGTAGTCGCGTCCCATACGACACTCAATCTGATTCTATCAGTAGCTTTCTTAGGATCGGCATTTTGAACAGGCGCGCCAGGGCCAACATTTGGTCGAAGAGGATGTGGATGCGCAATATGCGTATCTAGAATTGTAGGTGCCGGTGAAGACTGCTGGCCTTCCATATCTCTTGCATAAGACTGCTGCCGGGAGAGGAGGGGCTCTACCACATGATGTGGGGTGTATCGGTCGTCTTGACGGTGGATGGAACTTGCGCCGTCATAGGTCACTGCCGAACGATGAAAAGATGCTGGAGGTGGTGTGGGGGCAAGGGGTCGGAAATCCTGCTTGTAGTTCTGGAAAGTTGAAGGTTGCCGAGCTGGGGACTGAGGGACGATAGTAGGTGTGTATTCTAGCAGAAGCGGACATCTAGTCAGCCAAAGCGCATAACCCACTTATCGCTACACTGTATACACACCTGCAATCTCTTGACCCGAATCGTCGTAGCCAAGAAGGATGTCTATGTCAAGCGTTTCTTTTGGTACCACGTAAAACAAAGTTTCGTGTGTGGAGTTGGAATGAGGTTGGCGCCATGTAAGCTCAATGGCGCATGAGACTGGTACCAGTCGAAGTTCTCCGGTTACGCGATGTGGCACTTCCACGTGGGTTAAACCGGCCTGACTTATATTGAAAGAGTCTTCGAGTTGTCGTCTGCCAACAACGTCACCGCGTATCACGCTGTGCTTGATCAAGGCCGGTCTCATTCGGACCTTGTGGTCTACGACCTTGGTGCCGACGAGAGTAGGAAGCAGGATGTACTCCCCCGAGCTGTTTTCGTCTCTGGTAGAGTGAGATGTTACTGATGATGCTGTAGCAGGAGGGCTTATCGGATAGGATGTCGAGGGAAAGCGGCGTGGCGGCCCCTGGCGGGGAGGCGGAGTTCCAGTGTGTTGCGATCCATGTGAAGAGGGCGGAACACGTGGTGGGAATGTGACATTGATGTTGTTCCCGACAGGTAAGGAAGACTCGTTGTGCTTTGGTCTTGATTGTATTAGGGATGAGAACACTTCCTGGAGGGTTCTTTCCCGTTCTTCACAGCACCTAGTAAGGATCTCTACGGCCTGCTCTGGGCTATGGTCGACCAGCTGTGCGACACATTCACGTATGCGATAGCGATCCATGATGTGCAGTCGAGGCGATCGGGCTGCATCTAGGTGGGGCTTACTGATGTCGCACGGACGGAGTTTGGGACGCTGCGGGAAGCAGCGCTAGCTAAGGCGCAATCGTCCATTGTCGCTCATGGTTGCCGTGGCGTGAGGAGGTAAAAAATTGATGATCCTGCGAAGCGCACTGCGTGTAGCACGAGTCTCGTGGCAAGGCAGAAGATGATGGGCGCGCAGGCCGAAGATTCGCACAGGAACCAGGAAGCGCTTATCGTTTCATCGGTATCTAGGGTCATGATTCGCTTGAAAATACGCTTTGCCGTTGCGAGTTGACCGGAACTGCACGTCGATACAGGGCTGTGAGAACATCATCCAGCAACCTTGAGGCAGCCGTATGCAGCCTGCAGCACACCGGTCAAGGCTTTTTCGTACCCCGCTCGGCTGGCCAGAGGCTTGTCCCAATCACAGCTCCACAGCCTTCCTTCATCGTATGTCTGAGGCATCCGAGTGTGGTCAATCCCATAGGTAGTTTCCTCAAAGCCGATTGTCTCCAGCGAATATTGTGGGCGCCGTCGAACATGTCGCAAATGTCTACTGCTAATCGTACGTCGAAGGAAGTTCAAGTCATGACGGGAGTAACGTCTGTCAGCCGGAATATCGCCAGCGGTAATGCTCTTCAAATCAATGGCACCGTGGCAGACAACGTCTACAATTTCAGCATGTAAGTCGAACTCCGCTACAATGGACTGAGCACGCTCCTGACAATTCCAAGCAATACTTTAGTCGTAAATTATCAGTATGGCTGGGATCCGAAGATCGTTCACCCTGTGAGCCAATCAGCATTACCGAGTAGATGCATAGCGATGACGGACGTACGCAAGGTGTTGAAGAGTTCAGCTCCGTCGAAGGTGTCCGCAACGTTCACTGCACAACTCCCAGTAAGAGCACCCAGCGTGACCATTTGAAAGGTGGCGGCTGACGACGACTAGATACGCGCTTCGGATCGGTCTGTCCACCAAGGACAAAACTTGATCCTCAAGCCTAGCAAGAATGACAGTCGGCACCCAGTCTTCGCCATGTTTCGACCCGATTTCCCAAACAATTACATCGCGGAGAGGATCGTGCGTCGGCTGAGCCTCGTAGTATACAGGAGTTCTTCGTTCACGGTAGAAGCTGGCTCAGACCAGATCCACCTTCCGCCCACGAATGATTATGTCAATCTCGCCTGTTACCCGGAAGAAGAGAAAGACGACTTTGCCATATATCGCTTCTATGTTGTTAAGCATCGCCAGTTCGATCTCCTCTTCGGCGCTGGCTCGGTCAGGTCTGGCTAAACCGACAAGCGAAGAGACAAGAAGCGGCAATTGGAGTTAGGCGCAACCTCCACCGTCTTCCCGTCCGGGGTCCAAGGACGACGTGGCATCATGCACAAGTAATGTCAGCTTTCAACCGCTTCTCTCAGAGAGATGTCCATCCTCATTGGACGCCAATGGCGGTGCGAACTTGGAGTTCTTTTGGGGTGCATTTATGGCTGCAGATCGCTTCGCGGGGGCGAATCACTGGTCGCTATCTTGCATGCACGCTGCGAACTGTCACCGGACCAACCGTACTTACGGTCAACTCGCAATCGACACTGCGCCCCAATAACGCTCTGGGTAAGTTCAGCTGGCCATTAAGTGCTGTCTCGCACCCTTCGAGCTGTCTGCGCAATCTCCTAGTACTTGTGCTCTTATCTCTCCAAAGGAATTTCAACCGATACCTTGAACACTATGGTAAGTCCACTTAGTTTGTATGGGTGGCAAGGCTAATTGTCGTAACAGGCTGAAGCGGTGGCTGTTGTATCCGCAATCCAAGCTACTACTCAACTCGTAGAGCAAGTCTTCCGAATCTTCAAACGCCTCCGCGATGCGAACGCTCGTCAGAAAGGTCTTCCTGAGGTCCTGGCTCGACACTATAGCGAACTCAAAAGTATCAAGGCAATCATGGGTATGATCTACGATGAGCAGGACCTGAAGACACCCACTGTTGCCGCGGAGCTGGTTCGACTACAAGACGTGTCGGAGAGGCTGGCTGCCTTGATCAAGACTTTGGTTCCGTCAACCACAAGTAAGATGATCCAGTTTGCGCGCCAGCTGGTGGACGGCTCAGCAGACGAGAAGAAGCTGAGCGCCATCATGGGCGAGCTGGTTCAAGTGAAGGCTGTGCTCGTGCTGTCCATTCAAGTCGCCCACGTAGGAGTAGTCCGCACCATGGTGAGAACTTCGAGCCTCGAATCGTGTAAGACATTGACTGATTACGTGACGCATGTAGGGGAAACAAGCTGTAGCAAATGCGGAAGCTATACAGCGGATCGACGAGTCCTTCCGGGAGCTTGTCCAGGATTGCAAGGGCCTGAAAATTGCACAACTGCTCAAGGGCCGACGTCCATCAAGTGGGTTTTCGGCTGACGATGATGTATCCAGACTAACGATATTAGATGACGGCTTTGTCCCATTGACTCTGGCTGATCTCAAGGCTCTCGACAAGGCGGGTCATGGTGATGGCGAAGATAGCGAAGACGAGACGCTCGTTGATGACTCAGAAGCATCGCCACGAGAAGTTCCCGTCAAGACCGAACGCATCGTTATCAACAATGCATCTCGTGGTTACGCTGTTCAGGTCAATGCTCCGCTGGATACAGATATATACAAGCATTTGAGCAGTCTGAGAATCCAGGACAACGTGGCCGAGGAGCAGAGTGTGCAGATCAACTATGGCACGACGACCAAGTCGTTGTCGATACTTCTCGAGCTCGCGCGACTAAGGCAGGTAAGCGCGCCCGTAATCGCGCGGTGAGAGATTGCGGTTAGGGTTCGGGGCTGGATATGGCGGCCCTATCTTTGTCTCGTATAGTATGAGAATAGCGTGATGGTAATTAAATGATGCCTCATCTATATAAGGCGAGATTGGGATAGTGGAATGTGACTGATAAAAGTACATAACTCGTAGTTACGTGAAAGAGAGTCACGCGTTGCAGTGTTCGGGCTCAGGCGCTCCTTCCTCCAACGCGTTTGCGCTAGTGGCCCGGCGTAACCTTAATCCGACAATGGCCAGCTTCGGAAGCTTCCACGCCGTCATGGGCGTCAACACCAAGGTGCAACAGTCGCCATCGCTATCTCACCCACAACCTTTACCCCACCGTCTTCGCTGTCGCTCACTACACGAGTTCCTTGCATTCAACCCCGCCTTAAACAACACCCTAGCCTAAACATCGCCGCCGGCGCCCGCCACAGCCATGGCGCTCGATACCTTCTTCCACAACAAGATCGAGACGATGAAGCTCGAGATCATACAGGGACAGGCCAAGCTAAGACGACTTGAAGCCCAGCGCAATGACTACAACTCAAGAGTACGGTTATTGCGAGAAGAGCTCGGCCTTCTCCAGCAACCGGGATCCTACGTCGGAGAGGTAGTAAAGGTCATGGGTACCAAGAAGGTGCTTGTAAAGGTTCACCCTGAAGGCAAATATGGTATGTATGACCTCACGAGTAGGCCGAACCAAGACTAATCAAGGCAGTCGTCGATGTCGCGGACAGCGTAGATATCAGTAAACTCACCGCCGGAAAGCGCGTCACTCTCCTCAGTGACTCCTACAAGCTCGAGAAGCTCCTTCCCTCGTCCGTCGATCCCCTCGTCTCGCTCATGATGGTCGAGAAGGTGCCCGACAGCACATACGACATGATTGGTGGTCTGGACCAGCAGATCAAGGAGATCAAGGAAGTCATTGAGCTGGGTCTGCAACATCCCGAACTCTTCGAATCGCTCGGTATCGCTCAGCCCAAGGGTGTTCTGCTATACGGTCCTCCTGGAACAGGAAAGACACTGCTTGCGCGTGCGGTCGCACATCACGCCGACTGCAAGTTCATTCGTGTGTCGGGTAGCGAGCTGGTACAGAAGTACATTGGTGAAGGTAGTCGCATGGTTCGCGAACTCTTCGTCATGGCACGAGAACATGCACCCAGCATTATCTTCATGGACGAGATTGACAGCATTGGATCAAGTCGAGTGGAGGGCAGCTCAGGTGGTGATTCCGAGGTCCAGCGAACCATGTTGGAGTTGCTGAACCAGCTGGACGGTTTCGAGCCAACCAAGAACATCAAGATCATCATGGCGACCAACCGACTTGACATTCTAGATCCCGCCCTCCTGCGACCCGGACGTATCGACCGAAAGATCGAGTTCCCACCGCCAACCGTCGAGGCGCGTGCCGACATTCTGCGCATTCACTCTAGGAGCATGAACTTGACGCGTGGTATCAACCTGACAAAGGTCGCAGAGAAGATGAACGGATGTTCAGGTGCTGAGCTGAAGGGTGTGTGCACTGAGGCTGGTATGTACGCCCTCAGGGAGAGGAGAGTGCACGTCACACAGGAGGACTTCGATCTGGCGACCGCGAAGGTGCTGAACAAGCACGACGACAAGGCGACCAGTTTGAGCAAGTTGTGGAAGTAGACCATGGTACGTGGTCATGCTACTGCGCTGGCCTGCATTATGCATTGCTGGTGTTTACGTCGAGATTATGTACACCAAACATAGACGTGCAGATTCTTGGTACAAACAAATAATGACTACCGACCTTCAAGATCCCTAACATGGTTGACGTTGATCTCGCATGGTCAGCTCAAGTGTGACGGCACGTCATACTAGCGCGGAGTAACGCCCGTCAGGACCTACCTAGCCCGCCATTTCCCACACCACCTCGCATGCACTGCAGATCGTAACCATCTTGACATCGCTTATCGCCTACCACAGTACAGTCGCAACGGCCTCAGTTCCTTATCGCGTGTGTGGACCAGAGTTATGGACGCAGTACTACCATGGCGTTCGCCCTGGAGATACCCCGCGCATCGTGGTGGTGGTACCTTCCGCCGCGTGGTATTGCGCGAGCGGGAAGCCCGATTGCGCGACAAGGAACATTATAAGTCGTCACACTAACCATGCAGTTTCCCAACCCACTGGCTCAATCAAATACCATTCCGTTAAAGATCCTCCATTCACTAAGTTCTTAAGCGACGCTAATGCCTGTTGTGCCTCGCCACCTATTCCCTTGACTTAACCCGGCTGTCTGTGTTTACTGCGATCTAGCTTAACCCTCGCTCTTACATTCTTTGCGCTCGTAGCCGGCTTCAAAGGGCGAAAAAGGCACCATGTCCGACTCGCCAGTAAAGATGGATGAATCACACGGTTACAAGGAACCTTCAGCGCAAACCGTAGCAAGAGATGGAGAAGCGCCTGTGAGCGTTTTGGAAGATGGATCGTTGGACCCCGTGTACGAAGCCAAAGCGAAGATGCTGAACAAGGCCATGCAAGACATCGGGATGGGAAAGTATCAATGGCAGGTAAGTACCCAACCATCAACATTCTCAGATCTATTATGAACACGCCTCATGCAATCAACCTTTCCCACATATTCATCCCTCATCTCCATCTACTTCCTTCCAGCAAACTTATATCTACCAGCTCTTCATCGTGATTGGATTCGGCTGGGCAATGGACAATCTCTGGCCGATAGTAACATCCCTCATCTTCACGCCCATAACCAACGAATTCAACCCCACACGCCCACCGCTACTGTCTCTCTCGCAAAACATTGGACTTCTCTTCGGCGCCGTCTTCTGGGGTTTTGGCTGCGACATCTTCGGAAGACGATGGGCATTCAACCTCACTATCGGTATCACGGCTGTGTTCGGAATGATAGCAGCGAGTAGCCCCAATTTCGGTGCTATTGGCACGTTCGCTGCTCTTTGGTCTGTTGGTGTGGGCGGAAACCTGCCTGTGGATTCAGCGATTTTCCTGGAGTTCTTGCCTGGGAGCCATCAGTATCTGCTTACAATTTTGTCGATCTACTGGGCGCTCGCGCAAGTCTTTGCCACGCTTGTAGCATGGCCGTTACTTGGGAACCTCACCTGTCAGCAGACGGATACAAACTGCACAAGAGGAGAAAATATGGGATGGCGGTACTTCATGATCGTGAGTACTGAGTTTTACATTCTTGGAAGTATCTGCTAATACTTTCCAAAGGTCATGGGAGGCGTCGCTCTCCTGATGTTCATTGGCCGCTTCGTCTTCTTCACAATCTTCGAGTCCCCCAAATTCCTGATGGGCAAAGGCCGAGACGCAGACGCCGTCCGCATCGTCCACGAAGTCGCGCGCCGAAACGGCAAAGAATGCACCCTCACCCTGGAAGAACTAGAATCATGCAACAACTACGCGCTACCTGGTACCGTCCAGCAAACCAGCACCGCCACCGCAGCAGTCAAGCGCAAGCTCCAGAAGCTAGATAGCTCACACGTAAAAGCCCTGTTTGCGACCAAGAAGCTAGCCTTCTCAACTAGCACCATCACACTCGTCTGGGCATTCATCGGCCTCGGCTACCCCCTCTACAACGCCTTCCTACCCTATATCCAAGCCACCCGCGGTGCCGACTTCGGTGACGGCTCGACCTACATCACCTACCGCAACAGTCTCATCATCGCCGTGCTTGGCGTACCAGGATGCATCCTCGGCGCAGTACTCGTCGAAACACCGCACATCGGTCGCAAAGGCACACTAGCTCTCTCTACAGTCCTCACTGGCGTCTTTCTCTTATGTTCCACAACGGCGCTCACCTCCAACGCCCTTTTAGGATGGAACTGCGCCTATAACTTCATGAGCAACATTATGTATGCGGTGTTGTATGCGTATACGCCTGAGATCTTTCCGACCAAAGATCGCGGTACGGGAAATGCTATAACGGCGAGTGCGAACAGGGTGTTTGGTATTATGGCGCCTATTGTGGCGATGTTTGCGGATTTGGAGACGAGTGCGCCGGTTTATGTTAGTGGGGCGTTGTTTATTGCTGCGGGTATTTTGGTGCTTATACTGCCTTTCGAGAGTAGGGGGAAAGCGAGTATGTAAATGGGCAAGCGCAAAACGTGTTCCGGACGACACAGATGCGTGGATAGTGTGAATGCATCTATGTACTTAGAACGGGGCTTCTACAAGGAAAGTACAAGAACGAATATGCAAATAGTCATCACAATGAAGTCTCAAACAGCCCCTGGGGTAGCACCAGAGGAAGCAGCACCCGACGACGTCGTCCCATTAGCACCCGGCCCTCCAATCAGATCCGCACCCGTCTGATTCTTGTTCGCAACACCCCCACCCGCCTGATAATCCGCAGCAACACCAAACATCTGATCGTCATTATGATCAGCCGTAGTATTAATTCCAATCTGAATCCAAGCCATCAACCCATCCTCTACCCCATCACCCAGATACACGTACCGAGGAAACGGATCAAAATCGTCATCAGCCTGCACAACCGACAAGAAATCGTCGTCGTTGGTGATATACGGCTGTGTGCTGAAGATATAAGGTTCCGTAGCCTCAACCTCAGCCTTGAGATCTTCAGGGTAGAAAAGCTGACCAGCATGTGCGATCACGCCATCGGCGCCCGTAGTGCCGTTTGAGCGAACAGTCACATTAGACTTGACGAGAAGGTGCGTGTGTGTCGCGCGATCGGTATAGTGGCCTGGAAACAAGGTTTCGAAAGCGACGACGCCATCAGCATCTGTTTCTTGGACGCCGCGTAGAAAGGTGGTGTTGAGGCCACCTTGGCCGTTCTCAACGCCGCTGTAGTAGCCCGTGGCGTTGGAGTTCCATATGTCGACGTAGAGGTGTGGGACGGGCTCGCAGGTGGTGATGTCGACGTATTGGACTTCGAGGTAGAGGTCGATGCCCTTTTGGTCTTCGACTACGTTCTTCCGGATCATTTCGCCGGTGACGTAGTAGGGCCCGAAGGTGAGTTCGGGGGTAAGGATGCATGAGGTGTTTGCGGCGAATATGGCGCTAGTGGGTGTGTCGGGCGTGTAGTCCATCGTGCCGGTCATGTTGTGATTGACCTTTTCGAATTCCTGGAGTTGCTTCAGATCACGACGGTACTTCTTGGGCTCTGCATGTTGATGTTAGCCATTGTTATTGGAAACAGGTTATGGCATTGGGGAAGAGCATACTTGCAGTGATTCCACGCTTCCGACGAAGATCATCCAGGGTGTTTGCGCGACGTTCTTCAGAACGCTGCATCAAGCTTCGGTGCTTGAGCGTATCTTGACATCCAGCCAAAGAACGTTTCGCCGCAGCCGCGCGCAAGCCACGAACTTCGATCTCGCGTTTGATCTTGGCATGGTCGTGTGTCTCGCCGGGGTGAGCTAAGACGGTGCTAAAGAGAGAGGTCGCTGCAGCAGCGCTCGTCAGAACGAGAGCGAGGTTGACCATGTTTGATTGCCAAGTTTAGTAAAGACAGGAGTTGGTATGATCGGATGAACGACTTCGAGGTACAACGATTTGATACAGCCGGCTAGCGACGCTGGAGAAATGATGATGGAGATATACACTTTACAGTGATACTCACTGCCTTTGTACAACAGTGCGTATCTCATAAAAACTGCCTGAGATATACCACTAACTTCGTATCCCTACATGTAGACCTAAAATGCTGATGTACGATTTCAGTGTATGTCTCACACGCATTTCGTACATGGGAGATCTTACCCCTACCTAACCGTGTTGACTCTTGTCATCCTATCATGTCGAGCACTGAAGCCATTACCACTTCATCACCCATACCAAAACTTCGTCACGATATGTGACGCGGCAGTCGACAATCCAGGTCTCGCCTGGAATAGCTTTTCGTTGTACGAAACTCTAAGCCATTCGTACTACATCTAGTGCTATTCGTCATACTGTATAACGCGGCCATATCCATACGAAGTGGGTCTGAATGTGTTCGTCTGCCCGGGGAGGTTGAAACGAATCAAACAATGAGGTCTGGGGGACGGGGCGGCTGAACGAAGTGGGTCACGGGGAAACGGGAAACGCTAAGACTTGCCAACAGCCCGAACGAGCGGTAATAAAATCTCTCCCATTGGTTATCATCAGCATCAACTTCAAGACGTATGCTATACGAGTTGTCGTAAGCTCCGTCGGACTTGTTGTTGATCTTTAGATTGCGATTGATGTACGACAGATTCTCCAAAAGGCGAACACTACTTGCGAGCTCGACTCCAGCCCGCACGATACCATACTGATCTCATCATTTGCTTCCCCAGGCCTTCTGCATCAACTCCTCGACACCGATCGGATGAATCTGGGGAAACTCATGGTTTCTCAATCCATCTTTCGAGGCATCCATGTTCACACGTACAGCCAACATGCTGAACTCGACGACTAAGGGTTGAATGAATTCCGGAGGAAACTCGTATGAGCCTTCTGGTTGCTCGAGCACCGTGGCTTGACCCTTCTCCAACTTGTCGATGGTATCGTAGGTGATGTCCCATTTCGTGCCTGTCATCAAACTGTTAGTCTCAAATCCAATCGCCACGGTATGGATGTAGGGATGACTTACCCGTAACCTTCTCCGCCAACTCAACAGCCTTCTTCCACGTCAACGCATCACTCGCAAAAGGACTAATCTCAGGCCATTTCTTCTCCTCATCCAACGTCGCAACAATATACTTCGCTAAGTCCGTCGAATGGATAAACGAGACCGCCGAATTGCCATCACCTGGCAGCACCGCCTTCTTGTTCTTGAAGTCCAAAGCGTAGTTGAAAGGCTTCATGTTAGACTTGACATGCGGCATGGCAAAGTAGTCCGAGTACCAGCCTAGGAAGACGCGCGTGAAGTCGATGTGAGAGTTGCGAAGTAGATCGGCGGCATCGAGCCACCATTTCGCTGAGGGGTACACGTCGAGGATGCCGGGTTGGGAGTAGTTGACTCCGTATTCGCTGGGCATGAAGCGCTTTACGTTGCCGGCGTCGATGGCGGCGTGGATGAGGTTTATCTGCGATTCTGCGCCTGGTTTGTCGAAGAGGCGGAGGGCGGATATGACGATTTCGATGTTGTTCTTCTGGAGTAGCTCTTTCATTGATGCGACGTCGTCGTAGTTTGTTTCGAGCACTGACACAGATTCGAGGCCTGGTATCTTGCTTGCCTGGATGTCATTTAGTGATTTGCCAAGTCAGATGGGTTTTGTGTTCATACGCTTCGGCTTAGAATCAGGACTTGGTGTTTGCCTTGTCGCACAAGTTCCTCGACGATTGTACGGCCGATGCCGCCGGTGCCTCCAGCAACTGCTACGGTGACCATGGTTGAGGTTTGATTGACGGACGTTGATGTGAGGAAGAAAAGTGGAATTGACTAGGCGATGATGCACCTGAAGGAGCTACTGAGAGTTGGTAGAGTTGATTATGACATTTGAAGGATATCTCAATAGGCTTTATATGGTCAGTATGTGGACGACACCCGGTCGAAGGATTCATGTCTACACGAAATGGCATTGCCTATCCGTGACTGTGTACCTTGGCATAGCGACAGAAAGTTGCTCGTAGACATCGATAGAAGCTACGCGGCTGCATGCATCTTGATAAGGCCGCTCGTAAATGTCCCGTCCACTGAGAAGCCGCGACTCAAACATGAGACCTTGGCAAGGCGCATGATGTGACTACCTCAAGACATCAGTGTCCGCCCTCATAGTTGTGTTGCGGCGTCATGCCGGACTCACGGGCATTTGGAAAGTGCGTAAAGTGGGGAAATCAGGGCGGAGAGAGGCTTGGGAGATGGGTGGTGCATCTGCGCTAACTATATACAGATTAGACTAAGCCTGTTTGAGCGTCATACGCCGGTGATATCACCCCGGGGCCGTAAACTGGAAACTTCAATGAACAAATGTCCTTGAATTATTCAGCTGAGTACCTACATACACCTTGTTTTCGCTGACAAAAGTTTTTCGTCCGGTGCCATACTTTTCGTCCTGAAGCGCAATTATTGGTCCTGAAATACGCTTAATCGCGCATTCCACGGAGCCCGCTCGTAGCGTACATATCGCATCAGACTCGTCTTTGTCCGAACGTTCGGCCTTGTGGCAATGTAGCATATTTTGTTCTCTAGAGATCGCCTCTGACAGTGCGCGATTGTACGCAGGCAAGAAAGGTTGCTTTGGTGTCAAGAACAGCGACAAACCTGGCCGAGCAACACCCGGCCGACGTCATCCACTTCTGGCTTTCGCGCTCAAACCTGAAGAGTCTTGTCTGGAGAAAAATTGGGTTATTTACTCTAAGAGTTGGAGACCTGGTAACAATGGTAGACATCATACGCTCGAGAGTAACTCGCTTCTTGTTTCTTCGCCTTGAAGCAAGTACATCTGCATCACAAACTAGACACCAAAACACTTTCAGTGATACTGATCAGCCATTCACTCTCGCCTCGTATCGCTGACATGTCACAACCCTCACCCCTTCATCACACCAAAATCACACCCCCAAAAGTTCACACCCATCTCTTGAAGCCACCCCATCACCGAAACAGCATCTCCTCTCCAGCAATAAATACCACAAAACATCATCACCTCCCTCTAGCCCCCATTACTCTTCATACCTCACCCCAGCACGCACGTATCACCACCACAGTCACCATGCTCCCCTTCCTAGTAGCAAGCTTCCTCAAGGACCGGATCCTGAATAAAACCTTTTTCGTCTGCATCTTCACCCTCATCTCCCTGATCATCTACCTCTTCGTCCTCCTCGGTTGTATAAGCACAGGTGCTGGCATCGAGAGTCTGTACTGGGTTATGATATCGCAGAATGGGACTGCTGGACAGCCACCCGTTGCGGTGCGAATAGGGTATTTCGGTATGTATCTGCGTTGAGTCCACGCTCTACAAATGGCTGTAGAGTTAGGTTGCGCGTTGGAGTCACTGACACTATAGCAGGCCTCTGCGCATCCTTCCCACCAAACACCACAGCGCCAAGCGATAACCCCACACCAGCCCCGTTGGAATGCTTTCCAGGAGATACACCACCAGGCCTTTCTAGCATACCAATGACACACCCCGTTCTCGCTTCCGCCCTGGCACTTCAGAAATCCTCCTTATACCCTCTTCCCGCGATCGCCTCATCGCTCTTCCTCATCTCTCTAATCTACTACTTCATTTTCCGTGAGCGAGGCGGCCGGAATGAGAAGGCTTCGAAGTTTCTTCTGGGGGTTAGTGCGGCACTGGGCGTTGCGGGCGCGTTGTGTGCGATGGCTAGTGCAAAGGCGTTGCATGAGATAGGGATTCTGCTGGGACATCATGCGGTTGGTGGCGGTGAGGGGGAGGTCAGCATCGAAGCTGGGAGTTGGGAAGGTGCGGGGCTGTGTATCGCGGCTGGTATTCACTTTGTTATTGTGGTTTATGCGGCGATCGGGATGCCGGGGTTTAGTCTGGGTTTCGGTAGTGGTGGATATATCGGGAAGAGGTTCTTGTAGAGCTGGCGGCTAGAGGCGACCCGAATACAGGGATATGAATAGCTGTTGTTAATGCGAAATCAGTATCTTTGAATGCGATCAGTGGTAGGGTGTCATGATCCGCGTCAGCATCCACATTTGTGAAACAGTGTTGACCAAAGATGTCGGGTCTGAATTGAGGAATATCGAATACTGTCGAGCCCGTTCCCGAGTGTGCCCGCAACACCATGAACGCCTCGCCAAGGAAACCCTCGTGCCTGGAGATGCCGTCGCATTCGTGATAGAAAAAGCGCTTAGAACTGGTCCAGGGTCATGCTCATAGACACGTCCGTGTTCTCGACCATCTTTGTGAACTCCTCGAAGCTGATCTTGCCGTCGCGGTCTAGGTCGGCCTCCATGATGGTCTTGTCGACAATCTATGTGTTTGTTAGACGTTTCCGCCATATAGCTTCCAACATGTATTGTACGCACCTGTTGCAGCTGTTGGTCCTTCAGGTTGCTTCCAACCATCATCTTCAGTACTATGAAGAGCTCGCCATTGCTGATGTAGCCGTCGCGGTCGATGTCGTATACGCGGAAAGCGAATCGCAGCTTCTCCTCCTTGTTGCCCTTGCTACTGAAAGCTGAGAGACCGGAGACAAACTCTTGGAAATCGACGTCGCCGCCACCATCCTCGTCGAAGATAGCGATCATGCGTGTTGCGAGAGGGTTCGAGGAGATTTGGGGGAGGGCTAGGAATTCGTCGCGCTCGATGGTACCAGAGTTGTCCTGTGCGGATGTTAGCCAAACATTCAGCTATTGCTTATAGTGCTGATCGCGCACCTTGTCCAGCTTCATAAACCGTTTCCTTAGGCGGTCAACCTCCTCGCGGTCAACTACATGCTGTTAGCAAGCTATTCTCAGCCCCGCAGACGCCCCTTCGCGTATGCCTCCTCTTTCGCTGCTTACGTACAGTTAGACCCGGAGGCTATGTTGTCGAGCAGCCCTGATTGTT